GGGAGGTGGTTCCCTTGGCTGTCACTTCAACAGACCTCAGATATGACACCACATCACACACGCTTTAATTCATTCTCAATTTAACTCATTCAAAAATTTCGTTAGGCAGTACTTTGAGAAACAGGTGGAGTGCAAAAGTGATGATAAAATGAGAGAACTTCAAACTTGGTTATCAAATATATGGAAAGATAGGAATTAGTAGGGACAGAAATCGTACTTGAAACTATAATTACTGTTTTGATCAATTGAAAGTTTAAAACAACTTGGGAAGGCTACCATTTGTACAACTTTAACTCGAAAGGGTGCTTAGTCAACTGAAGCAGGTGGGTTTATTAAGAATTTAGTAATTGAGAAAAATATGGTAGCAACAATTCCTGTCTTAAAAAAATTGTTTGGATTTTAGCAGGGGCGATATTGGGTCTTCAGCAAGAGTCGAACTGGGAGACAGTCAGAATTAAATATGCACGAGTTATAAACATCTTGGGCACTTTATCGCACAATGCTGAAGCCACAATCTTAAATAACTGCGTGTCCACTATCCTACGCGTATGCATAATAAGCGCACGCTGGTCGTAAAGAGGGTCATGTTGTTGCCACATATGATTGATATCGGTGCGCCCACCACCACCACCACCACGAAACAAGAATGATTTCGCGACCCAATCTCTTCTTCTCTCTCGCACTCTCTCTCTCTCTCTCTCTGCGGTCATAAATTGTTGGATGCATAAATCACGGGTCCCTTTTCCGGTGTGTGTGTGTGTGTGTGGTGGGGGGTGGCGTTCACGTTCCTGATATGCATTAAACGCACAAGTGCAATATCATGAGCTTCGTTATATCTTGTTCTTTATCTCTGATTGCATGCGGGTTTAGCTTTATGAAGGTGATTATCCATCTCATACAATTGAGAGTATATCCATCGTTAATTAACTTAAGACCTATTAACAACTCCTTCAACGGTCTACTTAAAACCTCAATTAGATGGCATGCAGTGAATTGCCAATTTTATTTAAGAGAGGGATAAGTCTGTTTGAGGCAGCAAATTTGTGCAATTTGCCGATTAGCACCGGTATTTTGAGACAATAGTTGTACTTTACATGGTAATTTGACAAAATATGTTAATTAGGATGTCGTTATCTCTGAAAAACAATTGTTTTGAACTGCTTTAAGCGCCTGTTATGTTGTTGTTGTCGTTGTTGGTATGTTCTCACGTCACCTGATCGTATGGAAACACACACACATCAGACGTATGTCCACATTTGACATCTCTTAGAAGTGGCCGCGGCTGGACCATGACGGCGGCGGCTCTTTTCAAGTCGACTAGCCAGTTGTGATAAATCATCGCTATGTTGCTTCTGTCTTAGTGTGATACCACCACCACCACCACGACTTTCTCATTAAAACACACCCATGACGAAGAGAAGATAGCGGTGGCTCCCATCGTTTTTCTCACACGCGGGAAATCACATACAAAAGGAGTGGGAATTATCCTCACAATAACACGTGGACGGATGTTTGGCCCATCGTTGGTGGCGGTAAGATCAAAAGAACCTTGGGGTGCCGCCAGAGGGGCTATGAAATCCCCTCCTAACGTGGTGCGACCTCTTATCTCAATGGGGTTTTGTGACTTTGGAAACGGAAGTTTACCATTTATTCGTTCATTCATACTCAAGAATTCATGAGGAGAAGGTGAGTAAGCATGAAAGAGAGAAGAGGAAGGAAGAGGAAATCTAAAACAAAATTGTCTTCCGTTCTTGTGGTGGGCAACTTCCAGGCCTTCAACGAATGAGCTGCGTTGTAGTTAACTAGGGCTCTGGGTATAATTGAACTTAAACAGCTACTCCCTGATGGACCGTTTAGCGTGCATGACCGAACTGGTTTCATTGCCACAGCCAGAAGAAAGTAAGTCCAATTGAAAATTAATTGGTTTGCGATGGTGAATGAGATAGGCAACGAAGTAATGCCGATAAGATGGACCTCCCAAACGTTGCAACAGCCGTCGAAGGAGCCAAATACCAAGAGTTCAAAATTTTCTTCCTTTCCTGGATGTCAAGAGTTGCGCCTGAAAGTACTGACTTCACCAACTTCTCATAAGTTGTATGTTTGTTTGGTTTTAGGAATATGGAAATGTTGTATTGCTTACTTTCATCATTTAATACTCAGGTTTAAGAGTTATTGATAATTTGTTCTGTCTGAAAGGTCATTTCTAGCCCTTTCATTCATGTAGTCCGAAAAAAAGATGGAAGATGGAAATATCAAGGGCAAATAAGGCAAAGCTCTCTAGAGTAACTCAGAGTTTTCTTTGAAAAAAAATAACGATGCAATATCTTGTTCCGAATTTACCTTTTCCTTCATTTTGAACAGTATAAGTTCAGGTTGTCAAATATTTATTTATTTCAAATGGTAGGCGTTTTGAATAGTTACTATTAGCCATTTAGCTGACTTCGGGGCTTCACAGTGTGAGGAACATCAAAATGAGAAAAAATCGAGAGGGAACAGAAGAGTGTTTCACAGATGTAAAAGAGACAGACTGACACAAAGGCAGAGAAAAAGGTAAGGTGAGTACTGTGAAAGGGTCTAATATGACATAGAGTGGGGTGTTAGTAGTTTGAAGAGAGATGTCAACTGCCGATTAATAGACTTTTTTGCGTATGATTATACGTTGCCCAGGGTGCTCCACGTGGAGGTAAGTCAATCGCATACTCCGGTTGTCAAATATTATAATATGCGATTATGGAAGCTTTACTCAACTATTTACCACCCCAATTATTTTCTAAAAAAGCACCCAACCGCACCCACGCGTGTCTCACAGCAGACTGATGCCGCCAATGTGATGAGTTTCGGTGGTGAATCAGGCGAATGCTATAGACGCATTGAACATGTTTCAAACGGCAATGGCGCCTTCTGTCACGAGTCCTGCACCGATGGGGCTCATTTTGAAAGAGGACCGCACGGTCCTAAGGGCGTTGAAGGGTTAAACTCACTATTAATTTAAACTTAGGTCTTTTCGACATCAAAAGAATGCAACTGTGTTTGAGAATTGCAAGATTATAAAAATTCACGTTTTTAAATTATCAAGCTTAGCGACCAATATCGACAGCACACTCGATGTAGTTTTAAGGCAGAAATTTAACTGAAAGAAGAATTCCCAAGTACTCAATCCGGGAAGACCTTAAAATCTAAACGGTGCCAATCGCAACTTAATTTATCCAAAATCATTGATTCGTGATCGAGCTCTCCAAATGTCTTAATTGGATCCCCTTCTTAAATATAAATAGCGTTGGAATCTAAAATCCCGTCTGAATCGTATCTTTCAAACAATTTTAATTATTGAAAAATGTTTTAATTTTATATTTTGCATTTATATTTAACTACTGGGGTGTGCAATAGACCGACCTCCACGTGGTGCACCATGGCAACGTATACTCATACCCAAAAAATCTATAAGCCGGAAGTTGACTTCTGACTTCAAACCACCATGACCCCACTGTATGTCATATTCGACCACTTCCACAATACTCATCTTACCTTTTCTCTACCTTTGTGTCTGTCTGTCTGTCTCTTTTACATTTGTAGATCACTCTTCTCTTCCCCCTCTCGACCTTTTTGTCACTTTGATGTTCCTCCTCCTCCTCCTCTCTGTGAAGCCCGAAGTCAGCCAAAGGGCTAATGATAGCTGTCAAACCGCCTGTCATTTGAAATAAATTAATAAATAAATATTTGACTATTTAATGAACGTTTAATGTCAAATCTATTAGCTCAAACTTTGATTTAGTTTTAAGAAGTACTTGTCAAGACATATCCCCTACTCCATCCAAATATCCGAATTTTCCAACACCTCTAATTTCCTCATTGATATATGGATGGTATAAATCTCTGCAGTTCATCGAAATCAGGAATAAGAGTACATTCTTTATCTGAGGGGTTTCAAGGTTGAATAGCCAATAATAATAATAATATGGATACCATCAATCAGAGAACGTTTTATGAGTGCCTCAACTTTCTATAGCCACGTGGATAAAGTGTACGATTTTCAATGAAATAAAGAAAAATCATTGCAACATTCTCAACTTCCGGTGTTTCTTAAGCAAATCAGTTATTTTTTGGCGTTTCTACCAATTTAAGCGAGTGATTGTTTCGAAATTACGCATCTAGACTTATAAGTAACTTTGAATGCGGAGAAGAGAAAGGTAGACCCAGAAATCTCAATTTTGATTCACGGATTTTACTCAGATGTAGTTATAGTCCTTAATAAATTATTACTTAAAATAGTTGTGAGCTTTCGGGTGGTATTTAACTTCGAGATGAAATTTGCGGCATGTGACTAACTTGTTAGCATTATGATACTAACGTCAGTAATTTTAACATAACAGGATCCGAAGAATTCACTTCCAGGTTCTGTTACCATCATCCGATTGTCGCTATTGGAGTGGGAAATTTTTAAAGAGGTGATGCTTTGCCCTGAGTGAGTACAAAGTAACTTTCTAGACAGCCTTCCGTCAGCTTAAATGTTCAACGCTCCACGTTTAAGTACCCCCATGAGCCAGCTTCGGTTGTGTTAGCGGTGTTGAATCTTAGAGGAGGAGGCACAAAGACCAATCAATTTGAATTTCGAGTTCTAAATTTTTTAGCTTTTGAATTAAGTCCTTAAAGCATATCTATGTAGAATTTATCAACCAAGACACTTTCCAACTCAGATTTTAGTGGTTCATTGCATTTATTGTGAAGGAAGGTTAGAAAATGATGTAATCTACGCGTAGTTCACATATTAGGTGATTTTTGAAAATTTCGATTATTGAAAAATACTAAGACCCCCCCCCCCACTTACCCCCTCCCCATTTTCTACATGTACCTTTTGGAGGAATATTGATGTTGTCGAAATCGTGTTCAAATTAAGTAAAAATAATAACTTTTAAAAATATTTTTGATGCTCTGGCACTATGCAAAGGACGTATTAATACCCTAGGAAAATTTAAAATACCAGCCTTATGGCATCTTTCAGTGTAGATAACATCACATTCAATTCGATCCAAGTTCAATATATCCAAAGATGAGTAAATGATGAGGTAATGTTGTTCATAAAAAGGTGATTTCAATTATTTTTTTCTTCTAGGATCAATCAGAAATAAAGGCGGGGAAAAGAAAAGCTCAGCGGAAACGATTTGACAGCCTGAGAGAGAGGGAGGGAGAGAGGGAGGGAGAGAGGAGGATCCGAGTGAGTGGAGTAGTGGAGATGTGTTCAAGATGAGAGATGTGTGTCTCCTGCTTCTGTCACATTCGACAGGCAGCCAATTACGATGGAGGGGGGGGGGTGGATTGTGTCGCCTGTCGAATTCAATATGTCCAAATTGAACCATTTGAAGCGTTTTGAAGGACTGCGAAAAATATGGCAGGTTCTTGCAGAAAAAACGAGAGATTTTAGTGAATATCACAGTTAAGTAAAAATAATTATGGATTAAATTATGTTAGTTCATTTATTTTCATTTAAACTATGACCCCCCTCCCCCTCAGATGGAAGAAATTTAAAAGAAAAAACAAAAAAAATACAAAAATGTTTTACTCATAGGTTTGTTGGCATGGTTTGTTTGAAGGTATGGTCTTTTGAAATAAGATTGCACTTTGAGGTAAATTTCATGATTCTAAATCACTTTAAAATGATTATAAAGTGGAAGGCATGTCACAGAAATTCAGAGAAAACGTTCCAAGTAGAACAATGAAACATGAGAAAATGTAACCGCGATGACCTTGAGTTCAAATAATTCAAATGAACTAAGATCAGATTGCGGTCTACACTTCATTTTCGCTTCTTTCAACACTCCAACATTTATTTATATCAGATTGTAGGCGTTTTGTTGGTTATCATTAGCCCTTTAATTGACTTCAGGCTTC